CAACGCCTTAATTAGCCCACCATTGGCCAACCAATGTTGTCAGCCAACCACCATCATCATGATGTGCATACTTAGAAGAAAAAAAATTCATTATTTATTACCAAGCAATAAATTTATATTTTTATCCAAATATTCGCGTTGTGCTTGACATGATTATTAATTATTTTTATGCAATAAATTTAAATTAATTAAATCGAGCTATATCCAGATTGAATTATATCGTGTGACTGTGAATATTTTTATTCAAATTATTTTGTTGTTATACACACATATATATATATATATATATAAACCCTAAACCCTATATTAAAAGTCAATTTAAAACTTATTTTGAAAAAATTATTCGACGAAGATACAATTTTTTTTATTTAAAAAATTTGTTCAAGTTATTTTATGTATTTTAATATATTTAATTTAAAATTATTTTTTTGGATTTTTTAAAATAAGAACTAATATTTAAAAAAGTTAAATAAAAGATATTTTTATTTATTTATATTATATTCTGACATTATTTGGTTACCCTTAAGCATAAGATATAGTAACATAATCATATCATACTGATTAACTAACATCTCTATTAACATCTACTAATATTTTTTTTTTTTGATAAAAACATCTACTAATATTTTAATACATCATGATTTATTTTTATTATTTTAATTTCTAAGAGAATAAGATTACGATATTAAATAATGATGTGTCAAAATATTAATGAATTTTACTGGAAAACTTCTGTACAATAATTGTATATTCCAATTAAACATTTTTTTATTTAGTTTTCTCATTAAACAATGAGAGTTGTTAAAGAAACTATTCTCCCTCCTACTTTCTCAAAAAAAAATTGTTTAATTCTAAAAAAAAAATAAGCATGGTGGCCCCACCTTGTTAAATAAAGACTCAAAGCCCTTAAACAATCGTACTGGTCATGTTTTTTCACTTCAGTTGTTACATTTTTGTCTTGTTAGCTATAAAAGAAAATCAATTATTACAAACAACAATTTTATAATTTTATGGAAAAAAATATTTCTATTTTTGCTATAAAATATTTTTCAATTACACTCACAAAAAAGTTAATGAGTTCCATTGTGAAAATGAGAGAAAGAAAAAGTTAATGAAAGCTACTAGCTTTTGTATAAATGTGACATAAATATTTTTTGTAGTAAAAAAAAAAATATTAAGCCCAAATTTTATATCACAAAAATGAATAAATCAAAAACAAATAGTTTCAAACGGATAGAGTAAAGAATGGTATTTCATTTGATCATGTTCTGAATTCGTAATTTCCATAGATTTAAATTCAAGAGTTGTTAACACCTACAATTTCTTGAGCCAAAGATTTAGATCTTTCAAGTTCACCATGACAGTACCCTATTCCAGTACGCCATATTGTTGAAAATCGACAATCATACAGAATCGAGAAAACAGAAAAAGAGATAAGAGTAGAGAGATTGACACGATGATTTACCCTGGTTCACCCAATATAGGCTACGTCCAGCTTGTCTGTACTATATTCACCTCACCGCCACTCGTTACAAGTCTCTCGGTTTACAAGGCAAATATAAATAGGATTACAAGAAACCCTAACAGCAGCTATTCATGAGCCCAAGCCCAAACTACTAAGAAAATTACAATAGAAACAGAGGCCTAAACATTCCCCAGTTGCCTTTCTGCTGACCCCGACAATTAGGGCCAACATCATCATGTGAAGTATGAGCCATACCCAACACATATGACATAGCATTCAGCTAATTTTCCAGGGACCGTAGGAAAACTCCAAATGGGGGCAGCATGGCAAATGCAAAAGATATAACCTGCACGGAGTAAAGCTCAAAGGACTGAGTCTCATCCATGATTCCATGAAGCAATCTTCCTACCAATTAAGTTAAACAGAACATGGCAGGAGCCGCAAGACAACAAGAACCTTTTTAAAGAAATATAAACCATTGTTGCCGACATAAGAATAAACAGAATAACGATTCAGGACATACATAACCATGCTCATTAGGAATACATACATTAAAATATCGGGTCATCCACATGCAAATGCTTGTTCCTCTCTCTGTTGAGATAGTACAAGATCTGGTTTCCTTATATATATGATATTGAGCATATGTTCAAAGCACACCAAACTAAATAAAAAACCTTTGTTTTCCATTCTTCCATCAAGCAGAAAGTAAAGTTTCTGCTGAACATGGATTCTTTCTTTTTCATTGCTCTCACTTTCGCATTGAGCTTCCTTATTCATTTTGCTCATGGAAATGAACTGCCCCTTACCACTGAGAGTACAGAGACAAGCAGTTCAAAAACATACATTATCCATGTGCATAGGCCAGAGTCTAAGATATTTACTCAATCTGAAGATTTGGAGAGCTGGTACCATTCATTCATGCCACCTGCAATTATGAGCTCCAACGAACAGCCAAGAATGATTTATTCATACCGGAACGTGTTGAGTGGTTTTGCTGCAAGACTCACTCAAGAGGAGCTGAGAGCTGTGGAAAAGAAGGATGGCTTTATTTCAGCTCATCCCGAAAGGATACTACATCGTCAAACCACACATACCCCAAAATTTTTGGGTTTGCAGCAACCAATTGGACTATGGAAGGAATCGAATTTTGGAAAGGGAGTTATTATTGGGATCGTGGATTCTGGAATCACGCCTAATCACCCTTCATTTAGTGATGCAGGAATACCACCACCACCACCCAAATGGAAAGGGAGATGCGAACTTAATGGGACAGCATGTAACAACAAACTAATTGGAGCAAGGTCTTTCAACATCGCAGCTGTGGCAATGAAAGGAGGGAAAGCAGAGACACCAATTGATGAGGATGGACATGGGACTCACACAGCAAGCACAGCAGCTGGTGCTTTTGTGAACCATGCCGAAGTGCTAGGAAATGCCAAAGGCACAGCAGCAGGAATGGCCCCTTATGCTCACCTGGCAATTTACAGAGTATGCTTTGGAGTAGACTGCCCTGAGAGTGATATACTAGCTGCGTTAGATGCAGCCGTGGAAGATGGCGTGGATGTAATATCAATATCCCTTGGTTTAAGTGAGCCACCTTCATTTTTCAATGATAGCGCTGCAATAGGTGCATTTGCAGCAATTCAGAAGGGAATATTCGTAAGTTGTGCAGCAGGAAACTCTGGCCCTTCCAGTGGCACCTTAGTTAACGGAGCCCCATGGATCCTCACAGTGGGAGCAAGCACAGTTGACAGAAGCATTGTGGCAACAGCAAAGCTTGGAAATGGGCAAGAATTTGATGGTGAATCTGTTTTCCAGCCTTCCAATTTTTCTCCGACATTGCTACCCTTAGTGTATGCTGGCAAGAATGGCAAACAAGAATCTGCATTCTGTGCTAACGGATCCTTGAATGGCAATGATTTCAGAGGCAAGGTTGTTTTGTGTGAGAGAGGAGGGGGTATAGGAAGAATTGACAAAGGAGCAGAAGTAGAAAGAGCAGGGGGTGCAGCCATGATTCTTATGAATGATGAAATCAATGGCTTCAGTCTCGAAGCTGATGTACATGTTCTGCCTGCAACGCATGTAAGCCATGCTGCTGGAGTAAAGATTCAGGCCTATATAAATTCCACTGCAACACCTAAAGCAACCATTTTATTTAAGGGAACTATAATCGGAAACTCCCTAGCTCCCGCAGTTACATCCTTCTCTTCAAGAGGTCCCAACCTGCCAAGTCCTGGTATTTTGAAACCAGATATCATAGGACCAGGCGTGAACATCCTAGCTGCCTGGCCATTCCCCCCGAATAACAACACCAATTCAAAACTCAATTTCAACATAATGTCTGGCACATCAATGTCATGCCCACATCTTAGTGGCATTGCTGCTTTGCTCAAAAGCTCTCATCCTCACTGGTCACCAGCTGCCATAAAATCTGCCATGATGACTTCAGCAGACATGCTAAATTTAAAACACAAACCCATTGTTGATGAAACACTTCAGCCTGCAGATATCTTTGCCACAGGTTCCGGCCACGTGAATCCATCAAGAGCAAATGATCCTGGATTAGTATATGATATCCAACCTGATGATTATATACCTTATCTGTGTGGTTTAGGCTACAGTGATAGGGAAGTGGGTATCATTGCACATAGAGCAATTAAGTGCTCTCAAACTTCAAGCATTCCCGAAGGAGAGCTCAACTACCCCTCATTTTCTGTTGTGCTTGGTTCCTCACAGACATTCACAAGGACTGTGACAAATGTTGGTGAGTCCTATTCATCTTATGTTGTCATAATTATGGCACCAGTAGGGGTTGATGTTAAGGTCGAGCCTAATATGCTTCATTTTTCAAAAGCAAACCAGAAAGAGACATATTCAGTGACATTCAGCCGTATGGCAGTGGGTTATAAGACAGGGGAATATGCTCAAGGGTTCCTAAAGTGGGTCTCTACTCAACACACTGTCAGGAGCCCTATCTCGGTCAAATTTGTATAAAATAATAACGTAAGCAAGCAACAACTTGCACTACCAAAGAACCAGTGTAATGGTCAGAAAATTGTAATACTTGCTACAACACGTAATAAGTGGCAAAATTTTAATCGTACACTGGCACCATTTTCATTTCTATGTTCATTCCATCTATGCATAAGCAAAATTTAAACTAGATCACCAAAAGATTTTGAAATCTTCCTTACAAATTCTGTCATCAACATGAAAGAAGTGGAAGGAAATAGAAAAAGAAAAATGTCTTTCTAGATAAAAAATGTTCACCAACAATACAATGAAAGATTATCGCTAACAAAATGTAAAGAAATACTAGAGAACTATGGAAAGGAAGATACAACACCAACAAAAATAATTACGTGGGTGTTAAATATATTTGTGTAAACCATCATTGAAAAACTTTTCAAACTGCCAAATATACAAGACTAGTTGATGAGTTTGTGTCAATCATCATTTTCTAAAATGTTTGTACTCACAAGTTAAATACTCAACAAAATCTCCATTCAGCTGAATAAAAAGAAAGATTTAGCAAAATGTGCAAGACACTGATTCGAATACACCAATATGAGAAGAGCATGGGAACACATCAACATCATGTTTAACCCAAATCAGTTGGGGTAGGCAAGAGCATGGAATAGCGGAAAATAAATAGAAACCGCTCCAGAGACACACATTTTTTCTGTCTTAAGGAAATCCAACAAATACTGATACAAACACTGTTATAACTTAACCGATTTTATTTCACCCTCTTTGTACAAAATCAACAAAATGAAGATAAATATACAGAAACCAGGAACTCTTGATTGAAGAGGACTTCTGTTTGTCAATAGCTTTAAAAAAAAATTCATTATGAAGATCCAGCATTCATTTCAGAAAAATTTGGGATGAGTTACTACAAAAATTACAGGTAATAATTGAACTCAAGCCAATCAGAAAAGAATAATGCATCCAAAATTAGATTGGGCTGTAAAGAGACCTACAAATTGTCAAATGTTTTTAGCTGGCTCAGTCAGAACCATAAACAGAAAATTTGACATCTGTGACACTCAATGACAGTAAGGGTTGCAGAACAGAAGAAAAATTGAAACACCTTCCAATTCATCAACCAAAACCAGGAGGTACATCAGGGTCTTCATCACCACAATCAGATGGTGGATTGTGCTCCACATCTACTGAAAATCCAGGAGGCACATTACTATTAACATCATCTTCACCAAGTGTATCCTGTAATAGGTGGGAATCTTCCTTCTGCTCTGCAGTGGATCCTTGCCTCTGAACCTGTGTCTTCCCTTTATCCTGGTCCTCGTGATTGTTATTATTTGTATGATTATTTAAGAGAGTGAAACCTGGTGGTTCTTCTGGCTCATTTCCATGCAACACATCATCAGTCTCAGTAGCTGACGCCGTTTCATCCGGTCCTTGAATTGGCATCACGTCAGATGTGGATAACATAACCTCATCTTTCCCTTTCGGGTTTGCCAGTTTGTCATAGACAGATTGCACTGTTTCTACGATTTCACTTTTCACTCCATCATTTGATCCGATTATTTGCCATAAACTATCGGATATCTGGCTCATTACTTTATCACTGTTAAAAGGAAAAAAAATGAAGCAAAATAAAATTTCAGTTTCCACATAAACTGAACCAACCACTTTAAAAATAAGTATACACACAGACACAGCATGATTCATAACAAATGAAATTTGATTAGGAACCTCAAGAATACAAGTGTAAAACAGTGAAAATGCGCAATTTACAGAACAGGTAACTTACCCAACCTCTTCATATATGGCATCAGAAAGTTGTCTAGGTTTAAAATTTTCTGCTCCAGGGCGATTGAGTGCAACTGACTGCTTCACAATTGAGGTAATATCTCGTCGCAACTCTTGCTGTCATAAATTGTCGGATTCAGTATTACAGACATTCAACCTTAGTTAGTTGTTAAACTAGAAAAATTCAAGGTCATAATAAACCACATGGCACATTAAACGAAGCTCTAAAAACTCATTTGCTGACAATTACAAATTACAATCTATATGAACACCCCGTTGAATTCCATCAGAAGAAGCACAAATCCGAAATCTATATAAGCCCTAAAATGAAATAAAAGATAATTAAGCATACGTTGTCTTTGAGCTTACGAACGATCTTCAAACGAAGCCGGTCAAAGTCGCCATCGTCCTTCAGTTTTGCGATAACCTCTTCTTTGCCAACTACTTCTCCGCTGCTTCCCATCACTCACATTCCTCCCACCAACTCACACAAACTATAATTCTTACTTCATCTAAACAGAATACATTTATAGATTTAGAGTTTAAATTTAAAATTTAAGGTGAAAGTGTTTCTAATTTTTAAATTACTTAAAAATCAATTCATTTTTAATGATACTATGTTGTCTTTTTTGTATATTTTTACATTCTCCCCTCCATTTTTTTATTTTTCTTAATTTTATAAAAAAAATAACAAAACACATCAAAATAACATAATTTCCATTAAAAATGACACTAAATTATGTGGTTTAAAATGACAAATATTTTTTTCAAAAAGTTAATAGAAAATAAGTTAAGATAAATTTTTTTATTTTTATTAGATAAATCACATATATCTTTCATAAGAGAGTCAATTCTATTCGAGATAAGAACATACACCTTATGTGAAGACAACTCTCTCAAAAGATATTTTTTGCATTCACATTTACTTTAACCCAAGATATTACTTACTAGGTACCACTTAAGTTGTATTAAAGTATATTTTTAACGTTATTATTAAGGAAAAAATATTTTTACTGTAATATGAGATAACAACTCCAAAATTACTTCATTTTGTGAGTTGATGAAACTAATAAAGGATATTTTAATAATTTTATTTATTTATTATATAAATTTTATTAAAATATCCTTCATTAATACACTCAATCCTCAAAATAATATAAGTTTGAAGTTATTGAAGATAATTTTTTGAAGTTATTAAAGATAATTTTATCTCTTATAACAGAAAAAATGATAAACCCTATTATTAATATATCGAGAGTTAGTTTTTAGATATTTTCTAGCACATACCAATTTTTGATAACTTTTTATAAAAAGAAAAAAATAATTTAGTAACTTTACTCCTTACAAATTTAAAATAAGAAACAAATAATTTTTACTAGATGGCCAAGGAGACTCTAATGTGCGGGTTACCCATTCTTTTCTTTTTGTGTCCAAATATTCAACGGTAACTATTCGAATTTAATTATGTCAATTATTTAGAATTAAGTTGCAAAAGACATCATCATAATTTTTTTTAATATCATCATAAATGGTCAACCTTTATCAAACCAAAGAAATGAATTATGCGATCGTATGCAATTAAGATCCAATACTACTAGATCACAACACCAAAAAATAAAATAAAGAGTAAATACCATTTTCGGTCCTCAACAAATTTTACGATGTCCGCTTTAGTCCTAGCAAATAAAAAAGTTATTCGTGATCCCTAAAAAATTCAAAGTGGACCCATTTTAGTCTTTTTGAAGAACTAATGTAGATTTTTTGAATTTGTGAGAAATTACAATTTCAATTAAATGAATCTATTTTGAATTTCTTAGAGAGCACGAATAGCCTTTTTATTTGTTAGGAACTAAAACGAATATAGTCAAATTTGCTGAGAACCAAAAAGAATAATTACTCAAAAAAAAAAAGAAAAAAGAACTAACTATTAAGTAAAAACTCAAATTTTTTGGTCCACAAGCTAAATGCAATAAAGTAAGAATTTAGTTTTGATCCTACGTGAGTATTATATTATCATCTGTGTCATATTAATATAAAAAATTAATATATCAAATATTTATCATCGTAATCACTGGTTTAATGAGGTATGATCACATAATTTGACAGTAAATAAAAACTAAACTCATTAATCCTCATATGAACAAAATCAAAATACGTTCATGTATAAACGGAGCATGTTTCTCCCGGATATATGCCAGAAGAATGACAGCGAAAATAAGGTGAGTCGTAATCTTCTATCATATTTCTTGCTCTCCCTAAACCAAAATTATGCATCTCTGCTGACACTCTTCCATAAGGGGCCTTTTGTCAATCTCAATTTTGTACATTTGGTAAACAAGCCTCAAGCGCTGTATTTGAATCACATAATATGGTACATGAAGTACAACATTAAGTTCTAATTTTATACAAATTACAGTTACTATTTACTTTCATTTTGCTACTATGTTGGAGGAGCAGTTATATCCAAGGCAGATATTACTGATGAATACGTCTGCTCCTGTCTCTAACAAACTCGTCCAAGTTCCTGCAAAATGTAAAATCCCTGTTAAGAAATCACAGAATTGACTAACTAGCCCGACTTATGATAACAAGAAAGATCTTTACCTATCAATATCATCATCACTTGAATTACTTCTCAATGATTCCAACTGCGAGATGATTTAGTTGCCTACAAGAGTTTTGATGACCATGTTATAGCTTCATATGACACATACATAAACATGAAAGAAAATGAGTGAAATAATATTGATCTGTATACTGACACCGGAGAATAATTGTTTCTTGCATCTGGTATGGGCCTCCAGGTATTCTTCATAGGACTGCAACCAAATCAATTAACAGAAGAAACATGCAGTTTGAAACAAAAAGTTATTCCAAGTATACAAACATCAGGAATTCAATTAACACAATAGATAACCCTTTCTCCTGCCAGCATCATGCAGCATATTTTAATCAACAGCTCCAAGACCTAAAAATTTCTAGGAACTCAATATCCAGTACAGCAATAACAAGCTTCGACATCTTTATTGGGATCCCAGGAACAAAGTGGGGAGAAGGAATTTGAAGTACATCAACAAGAAAATGTTCCTGTACATAAAAAAGTTTAAATTGCCCAATCCAGTGAAAAATTGATCCATCAAATGTTTTCTAACCAGATCTTGCCAGTGTGCTCAACAACCAATATTAGGAAATATTCATTTACTGTTATTATGATTAGGGAAAATTGGGTATCCAGTCACTGGATATAAAGTTTTGTCCAATCACCGCATTATAACTATGTACTCCGGGGAATACATAGTTATAATGTTAAAGTTGTACTTTTTTCTCTCTCTTCATAAACTTGTCTGTTGACGCAGAAAATGAAAAAAAGTGCAACTTTAATATTATAACTATGTATTCCCCATAGTATACAGTTATAATGCGGTGATTGGACAAAACCTTATATCCAGGGACTAGACACCAGATGAACCCTTAATAATTATAGAGCATGGCCATCTTTAATCTAAGCTATGTTTTAACTTCTTCGAGAATTCTTCAAAACTCAAAAGGGCAGACTAGATAAAAATTAATTTAATTTTAATATTATGGATTATGGGCCAAATTGCTTGTGCATGTAAGGCATCAAAGAAGCTCAGGAATGGAGGGGTACTAACTGAAGGCCTGACAAGTTGAATTTCCCATCACCACATTAGTTAACAAGAGGGCCAATGTAAAACTTTGTCTAAATTATAATCCCCAAATTCATATGAAATAAGCAAACAGACAACTAACAGAATCATGATCGCATAAATAGACATCAGTAAAAGTTCCTTCAACGATTCAAGCAAAGAACATGCAGGTCAGAAGATATTTCCTCTTCCCTAAACATAATATCCTCTATCACTGACTTTCACTTTGTCAAATTCAGATATTTGCAAGCCATTCCTTAAAGTAGATTCTTAACATAAATCTAAACGAAAAATGTGGAGAGAAAAAAATAGGATGTAAAATAAAAAGATGAGAGAATGAAAGATAATATTCTAGTACCATGTCAAGAAAATCATCCTCAGTTAGGGTACTAGCTAAAGGGCTTTCAGCAGACAGGCCCCAAACATCAAATTGAGAAGCCACATCCTTGTCAACTTGTAGCTTAGGAATATGACCACTAAAATGAGAACGTTTACTCCCTGCTACTTTTGATGACCCAGAAGTTACAGGCAATATTTCAGTGAAATTTGTCCCATTGATTCTATGGTTTGCTGAATGAAATCTATTTGCTTCAGCTTGGTTTTGGTACAGTGAGGAAGGATGATAAGGTAATGGCATTGACCAAGACATATACAGTGGAGAGAAGTTACAGTCTTTGTTGTCTATGGAGCTTGGAGTCATGGCAGACTGCCTCTTCGAAGAAAAAGCATCCCTGGATGAACTGCAAAGCAGAAACCAGTAAGCAGCAAGCATCCTGAAAAATGCAGCTAAAGACACCATCTTTCACTTCTCTGTATTACCTGGTCAGCTGGCCACTCAAATCATTCTTACCGTCAAGGAGTTCACAAAGAGCTAGACCAATATCTGGAGATAACTCCTGGAAAGACACTTTATTCAGAGTCATATAATATATGCTTTTTCCAAGGTCCTAGAGAGAAAAGGAAAACAATAAAGCTGTCAATTTAAAGGGAACCTGGCAATCTCTGCTAATTTTGACAGGTTTATAGTCATTCAATGGATTCCTGAGATGAAGAGTCTTATGAAAAGGCAAGTCACATAACTGCAGCCATTTGACCTTAAAACTGTGACCCCAGGGATTACTTTTACCACTTCCCTCACCCCAAACATTATCTCTCCTCCACCCAACGGAGGACGTCATTTGCGCATATCCTTGGAAGGAACCACTCATGTTGACACTAAATATAAGTATTACTCTACCTGCATTCTGCAAGACAGAAAGTTCGTTGTATCTTATTGTAATTTTTTTCTCGTTCTTTCTGAACTTAAAAAAAATAAAATTCAACAGTACAAGTTAAGATCAGAAAGGATGGATCTTACATGAAAGGCTTCTTCCAAAATCGGTTCGTTCATGATTTGAGTAGCCCAAATTCCTTTCTCAACTGACAAACGGATATTTTGTTGATTCAAACTCTTAATGATAAAGTACTTTGTGTTATATAATTTTTCCGTTCCAGTTCCAGTCGGAAGCCCAGTTTGAGAATGAGAACGTCCCACTTTACCAGCCCTAGTTGTTTTACTTTCCCCATTAACCTTGTAACTTGAGCTCTCTAATAAAATATATACAGATAAATCCCAACTCAGAAGGGAAAAGAAATAAAATCTCGAGAAGAAACAAAACCAAAACAAAAAAGCAATCCTAACATGTACATATACACATAATTTCATATACATATATACATGTCTATTAGAAATGTTTTGGTCTTTTTTTGGGCATGCATATAAACTTATATGATAAGCGCTCTATTTCATTCTTTACTAACTAAGCCAGTGCTCACCTGGAATTCATTGCGGGAAGGTTTTGCAATATTACAAGAACGATAAATATAAAACTCAAATCATGGTACTGTTAAACACTAATCCCATGCAGCACAAATTCACAAGTTTTATCAAATAGAGCAAAATATCAAAAAGACCAAATACAATTATTGTCACATTCACATCTCCAACATAACGATCGCCTGAGATAATATTATTTTGATTGCAGAAAAAAAAACACATAGGAGATAATGGAAGCTCCTTATTACACATGATACATGTGCGAAAACATTATCACCACCTGGTTCATCTGAATTTCCCATGTCCTGCTTCCATTCAGTTACTGATGAATCAACTACTGATGCATTTTCCTTTGCACTATCGGAAGACATATCTCAGTAGGACCTGTCATGAAATTAAGCACGTCACAACCTAATACTCAAAACGAGGAATGAATAGTAAGAAACTACGATACCGAAAAACAAAGGATTGCAACACCATTTTGATATATAATTAATTTGCAAAACTTCAAGGAACTTAGTTATAAAATAAAGCCCCATGTGTTCCCTTCAGCATATACCAAGGCAAAATCACCATCTTAACAAGTAACAAACACTAAGTAGAAGCATTATATCCCAGAAATAGCATCAAAAAGGTTAATTGGTGCCATAGGCATAGTTCATTCAAGATGCCCACGGATTGATCCGAAGCACTGCGAAAGAGTGGGCAATCATGGACTTTGAAGTACCCAATTTGACAAATTACCCACTTACCTCTTCTTTATTAATTCAAGTATTAACACGAAAAACTAAAGGAAATTGAACTTAAAAATATTACGAAAGTGCAACAGGATTAGCAATGATTACTAGAACAAGGTCCCAACTGAAATTGAACCCATTATGAAGTCGAAGAAGTAAAATAGCAACTAGTGAGAAGCTCAAGCAAAGTGAACAAACAAGTCAGAGATAACTGAAGAAAAAACATATAGACACCTTTTTCAAGTTTCGATAGACAGATAAAACTTCATGCGCGAGAGTCCCAGTGCAATGTTGTCGTGTCCAACTCCCAAACCTAGCTTCCACTTCAGTTCCGGATTACTCTCTTCCACTTGGTTTTGAATGATTAAGGTAACTGTCTTCAGGAAACATATTTTGTATATTATCTTAAAGGATTAGTTTTATTTGAATAATAAAGATAAACTATTTTAAAATTAAATTATAACTACATTTTTAAATAGGGTTAGGATCGGATAAGTTACATTTTCGCTTAATTAATAATTATTTACTACGAAATTAATTCCACAATTTTGTGATATTTAAATCCCTTGTTTACATTTTAGTTTTACTGTTGCTGCATTAAATAATAGGTTTTATAAGAGTTATGTTATAGGAAAAGTGATTTACTAATGTTATAGAGATTCATTTTGCGTGTTTAATTTTTTATTTATTTTTTTGTTTTAAAAAGTGTGAACCCCACAAGATATTGTGAGAGTAAGAAAGTTTGTTGTGTTATATTAAAGGATAAAACGAAAACCCTTAAATAATATCCTCACGTGGCTATTGTAAGGTCGCGACATTCACCGGCTTGTGGATCACGTGTCACGATTTGATTGGTTTATATTTTTTGTGTTTTGTTTTAGTACATATATTCTTTTCTTTTTAAATTTAACAAATAAGAAAAAAAAATCAACCAGCCATCACACAAACTATTTGCATGTTTGGCACGCGGTCCGAACTATTTTCCAGCGGGGGCATTCAGATAATCAGTTTCGCATCCTTACCGTGCGGGACTGTTTTTACATTTTTATTTATTTTTTATTGATTCTTTGCAGTCTACTTTGCGAAACATATTAATTTTTAGAGTAAATATTTTTTGTGTACTCAACAACAAAATATGAAACTTATTTTAAATTTTTTTAAGGACTAACATAGATCATTTTTAAATTTCAGAGGGACCATAAATTATTTTTTTTTTGAAATTTTTTTTAATATTTTTATTGAGAATAAAAGATTATTTACTCTAATTTTTATTACCCACTTCAAGTTCCATGAATCCCTGGGAATTCACATATGGTGCCACATCACTTGATCTTAGCTAGCAAAGTCTTTTAACCCTTCCTATAAATATTTCACTCTTATTCACCCACTCACTCATTTCTTACAATATTTAATTAAAATTTAATTACAATTGTTCACTATTTATAACAATTTAAAAATATTAATCACTATAAAAAAATTTGATTTATACTTTAAACATACTTAAAGCTAAATAATAATCACTAAGTATTAAGTAAAATTTCTAAACACAATTAATCACACATACTTTTTTTAATATATTAATCACAACTATTAACTAATTATAATTATAAAATATTAATCACAATTAAGCATAATTCAAACTCACCCTTCAAAAAGTATCCGCCATAGGTCTCTTTCCTCTCTATTTTGTTGTCTTTGTGGAATTGTTGTGCTGGTTGTCAACAAAAAAGATATGGTTCAAAAAACTAAAAGAAGTAATTTGTAAAATGAAGTATGGCTTTTTAAGGCAAATTGTTTAGGTACCAAAAACAATGTCATATTGTTTATGTATCCGGAGACATAGCATCTTTGGTGCATAGTATAGGATAAGATCTGATAGTATAAGGCCTGATTGTGTAAGACCTGATTGAATTTTAATACTATCAAGCGTTTGACACGGTATTGTATAAAATAATATAGGGTTCATTTTTTCTGCAGTTACTGCAGAGAAGTTATCTATAATAAACCCAATACGACGTCGTTTTGGGCGGAAATCATGGTGTTTTTATAATTTTGATTTATTTCAGCGTTATAATAGTTTTTATTTTTATAATTTTTTAAGATTTCAATACCAAAACGACGTCGTTTTGGGAATAAATGCAGATAACTTATCTGCAGAAACTTTTTCCCTAATAATATATTGTATAAAATAATATCATCTAGTATTTGGTAATGCACTGTATAATACTATTTAGGATAAAAATAAATATTTTTAATAAAAATATCCTTTAATAAAGAATTTATATAATTCTTCAAAGACTATCATATGATATTAATATTTATAAAAATTTATTGATTAGTGTGTCCAAAACATAAATTAATTTTATAAAATAAAAATATTTAAAATATTTTAAAATTAATATATTGAAAAATTAATTTTTATTTTAATATATTAATATTAAAATAATATATTAATTTTTTAGAATTACATTGGTCAACGATTAAATTATAGATTGTTTTGATGTATTACAGGATTCTGCTGTATAAGTTTATACTATACGATGGTCACACCAAACAACTGAAAATGTCATAACGTATAGTATAAGCTTATAGTGCTTATACTACCAAACTTTATACGTCACATCACCTAGTATAAGCTTAAGGAAAATTGCTATGCTAGCGTCAAATAATCGCTGTTAATGCCACATCTTAGTGTTATGTTGTATGTTACACTAGCATCGATACGGGACATGGAAAATGACACGATACGATACTCTTGACACATTAACTCTAAAAAAATGTTAAATTTTGACACGTTAGGACACGTTTTGATATTATATAATATTTTTAATTTATGTAGTGTATATTATATTTAGTATTCAATAATTTAACAAAAAAATAAAGTTAAACTTATAATACATATCAATTTTGCAAAGAAACATAAGATATCTCATATCTTTATATTAAACTCAATAAAATCGTAATCGTAATATAACGAATCTAATAGTTGAAACTCAAAATGCAACGCAACGTAACATTTGAACCTTTTTTGAATCTTTGTAACGAGTATTGAAGTGCCGGAGTGTCGGTGAGTATCTGGAAGTGTCAGACACGATACGTCAGAATTTTTGAAGTGCCGGTGCTTCATAGATTCTGTTAGTGGGGTCACTGAATCATGATAGAGGACCATATTAATTTCTAATTTTTTACTTAAAGGACCAAATTGACAAATAAGAGAGACTAATTTAAAAAATGAAATAAAAAATTTATTAACTAAATTACCTTTTTTGTCACAAATTAATAAATTACATATAATATAATATAATTAATATTTTTAAAAATATATCTACAAGACACACATTACTCATTACTCACCAGTAGTAATAAGAGGCATTGATACAAAACTCTCTCTAAAAATTATTGCTAATTTTTATAATTAATTTTATTTTAAAAAATAAACTTTTTTATTACTCGAACTAATTAGTGTTAATCGTAGAGTAATATATTTCAATAAGAATCCACCTAAAAAAGAATTAAGTGTTTTAAGATATTAATGGGCAATCTTTCAAATTATTTTACATTATTACCCACACGTGTCTATAACCATATTTAACATTATTATTTTTTTTAAAAATATTTTTTAAAAAAAAATAATGATTATCGTATTTTCCTATTATATGATGAGAAAAATATTTCTCCAGTTAATGCAGATAAGTTATTTGCACTTTCTTCCAAAACGACGTCGTTTTGAAATTGAAAAATTAAAAAATTATAATTATAATAACTATAATAACCCTGAAATAAATTAAAATTATAAAACACATGATTTCTGTCCCAAAACGACGTTATATTGGACTTACTGCAGATAAATTATCTGCAGTAACTGCAGAAAAAATGAACCCTTATATTATATGATTCTCCAAAAAGATAAATAGATAATAACAATAGGAATGAGTTATAGTTACTACTTTTTTTCTATTATTTGTTATTACAAAATCTTAACCGTTGATTTTTGTCAATCTAATGGTTATAATTTATTAGAATTAGTAATTAATTAATAAGTGTGACCCAATAAATTATAACCGTTAAATTAAAATAAGTGTGACCCAATAAATTATAACCATTAGATTGACAAAAATCAACGGTTAAGATTTTGTAATAACAAATAATAATAATAAAAAAAAAACAGTTTTTCATAAAAATAATCACGATGAAAATTTCTGTGGGTCCCATCTTTATCTACGTGTCGTAAATCCATGGCAAAAGTAAAGCTAACGCAACAAACTAGGCCCTAGGGAGCCCACATCAAAGCATCGTGGCAGATTTCTTATGGACACGTGACAGACATGTAAGAAACAAACGTGAAACGAAACAAAATAAGCGACATGAAGATATTGGCCACAACGAAACGACGAACGAGATCGAAATCAAAAAGAAGAAAGTTGCAACTCCCTCCACACGTTCTTGTTTGCCTTATCCTTAAGCTAGCTCTCTTCGGTCTTCACTCTTTGTTACATTCCCTCCAAACAAAACAACAACCACACTGAATTTACCCATTTTCATTGCCACCACCGCACCCCTCTTTTTCAGTGATCATCATCACGTTCATGGCTAGCAAACTAGCCTTCACATTAACACCCCCTCGTCAATGCACTGTACCCACTCCAACACCATTGATTCCAATCTCTTCCTTTTCCTCTGGTGTCCACCTTATTCAGTTCAATGGTCGCCACTTATGCCTTCGACGGAGGCTATTTCTACTTTCCCCTAAGGCCACCGCTGATCAACAAGGTCTTAACATTATATATCTTTTTATTTATTTATTTATTTATTTATGTCATTCTTACTTGTTCTTTTCTTTCAGGCAAGGTTGAAGAGTTTGAAGAGGATGCTGTTGTTGATAGTAAAATTCTCCCATATTGTAACATAGATAAAAAAGAGAAGAAATCAGTTGGTGAACTTGAGCAAGAATTTCTTCAAGCACTGCAAGTATGGCCTAAATTTTTTTGTTTTTTTCCACTTAAATTTGGTGCCATCTTAGTTATGTGTGATGATCCTACAGAAAACAGAAATTTAAATTTGTAGTTTTGTTTTATTGAACAGGCATTCTATTATGAAGGAAAAGCTATCATGTCAAATGAGGAATTTGATAATCTCAAGGAAGAACTCATGTGGGAAGGAAGCAGTGTTGTCATGCTAAGTATGGAGCAACTTCACTGACAGTGTAGCTGTGGCTTTTATCATAAATGAATTTCTGTTGACACTTAAATTTTTTGCTTCTTTAATATTGGTTGACTGTACAGGTTCTGATGAACAGAAGTTTCTGGAAGCTTCTATGGCTTATGTATCTGGAAAACCAATTATGAGTGACAAAGAGTATGATGATTTGAAACTGAAGCTAAAGGTTTGCTGTTTTCATTTCATCAATGAAAAGTCGTTTTGTAGCAGTTGGTGCATTTATGAGCTGGTGTGAATTGATTATTATATTTCTGATTATGTATATTATCCTGACCTAATCAGTTATTAGGGACTTTGGATAGTTACTATTACATTTTTAAATAAAAGGACATCTAGTACTGCAGTTCATGGTTTCATTTGTGAAAGTGTGCAATATGAAATATCACTTCCAGTAGTTATATTGATCCCATATATTCGGGAATGCTGTTGGAATTGCTTTATTATCTGTACATCTGCCTTCTTCTAGTATCATTTACTGATCTCATAGTTGTTTTCCAGATGGAAGGTAGTGATATTGTGGTTGAGGGTCCAAGGTGCAGTCTTCGTAGTAGAAAGGTGTGTTAATCTGTAATATATTCTCTGATTCCAGTTTTGCTTGTCAATTGTAGTATAGTTGTTCTTTGATTAAAGCATTTTTGCAATGTTATAAGCTACTGAAATATAGGATTAACTTCTTCTTTTTTATATGGTTTCATTATTAAGTGATTTGCTTTTGAATTCAGATATAAGCTACTGAAATCAGTTATATCACAAGGACAAGAGATATAGGATGATCTTTACATGTCAAATCAAATGCTTCTTTATTTACTGGAAATCAGCTTTAGGATTTATTATATCATTTGGGATTCATGAATACTTGGATCTGCTGTGTTTAATCTTTATTCTTTACTAATTACTGTCCATTTATAGGTTTACAGTGACCTGTCCGTTGACTATTTAAAGATGTTCCTGCTGAACGTCCCTGCTACTGTGGTTGCATTAGGATTGTAAGTAGCCTTCCTCTCTGTCCCTCTCTCTCTAATTTATTGTTGAGTTCATGAATCCATGATGTATTTATTGAAAAAATTTATTCCAGCTACTGCCAGTAATTTGGTCCATTTACACACTTCTTGGTGAAACTGAAAATAATCTTGTAATACTCAAATGTGCGTTTTCTGAAGATTAATTTGATAGAATAAATGTATTTGTCTTTCTTTCATATATTTCTATTTCCAAGGATTAAATATTTTGTTACTCATTATGACCATGACTAGGGGATGGAAAGGAATGCAAGAAATGGCCAATATATGCTGATTTTTAAGTATCCATTCATCTACCTGCTGTCACATTCTACAGCTTCCGCATATTTTATAATTTTCATATCAGTATCCATTTTTTTTTTTTATCTATCTTTCTTAAATCAATGAATTCATTGCAAAAAATAAATTATAGTATGTGTTGATTTCAATTTACCATGCGTTCAACTTACATGAAAGTTACTTATTGCACGAGTTAGATCTTGACTTTTTTCCTATAAATTTTTTCCCCTGTAATCCGTTAGGTTCTTCTTCCTTGATGATTTGACTGGATTTGAGATCACATATCTGCTAGAGGTATGTTCTCTTCATTTTTCCTTGTAGCCACTAGCATTGCAAATTGGTCATTTGGATATAGTTTGATTCCAGAATGTCATAGCATCTGACAGTAGTCGTATTTTTGTGGTCCTTTCCTTCTTATATTCTATTACCTTCTTAATTTCTGGAAGCAATTTAGCCGTATATTATTGGATTGATTATATCTTTTAGTTGGAGAAAAGATCGTCTAAAGTGTAGGATGAACTATAGAGAGCAAAATGCATAGTGGATCACCATTTGATTGAATAAAATAAAATAAAATATCAGTGGTTTATACTTTTAAAAAGTACAAACAACACGATAACAGTCCATGTATGTGTAAAAACTGGTTGAATTTCATGAATAGTTACCGGTTGTAGTTTACTCTCTGAAATGGTGCACTTTAGAGGATCTGAACCCCTTGTAGTGAAACATAGAAGAGATTAGCTAAGATCTGAAGAAGTACATTGTAATGTCTTGGCAGGATATTGTTGTAGTAAATGATTACCAATTTACCATGTTCCTCCTTCTAAGTACCTTGCTTTGCCTGGCCACAAACCCAGAATAAGTCTGCGTAAAGTTTTATCTCTGAGAAATCAGAGCTGAAGGGTCACTTAATAACAAAGCTAGGATTATGAGATTGATTCTTCACATCACATAGAAATGAAATAATTTCTTAGATATTCAAAAATATTATTACAATTAATGCTATTGTATTATAACAGATATTATGTATTGTTAAGTGCAGCTGCCGGAGCCTTTTAGTTTCATTTTCACTTGGTTTGCTGCTGTTCCCCTCATTGTGTGGCTAGCTCTGTCAATAACAAGAGCCATTATAAAAGATTTTTTGATTTTAAAGGTATAAATTTGCTAACACTGTCTCTTGTAGGTTACATTGAACTGCTACATATACTGACATATGTACTTTTTGAAGGGTTCCTGTCCAAACTGTGGTACTGAAAATACCTCCTTCTTTGGGACTATACTGTCAATTTCAAGTGGTGGTTCCAGCAACACTGTCAAATGCTCTGGGTAAGTATAGAAGCACTGCTGATTAACTAACCATTGATGCTTCAGATCATTCATATTCTTATCATCAAACTGATTGAACTTATGGTATATCATCAATTTAACAATCGAAATTAATGTCTTGACTCAGCTGTGGCACTGAAATGGTATATGATTCAACTACAAGACTGATTACATTACCAGAATGAAGTAGCGCCTAACTGGAGGTACATTCCTAATATACTCTGGAATCTCTCTGCTAATTCAATTGTAGCATATATGTATTTGAGTATTTGTTGCAATATTATATTTGATTTTCTTTTCTATCTAGTTATGAATCTGCTAGAAGTGAATTTTTTTAAAAGATTGGTTACTTTGAAAAAGATAATGGTATCATGACCTTTCCTTTCATTGTATTTTCATTTTCCTCTATAATTCAACCTATTCGCCACCGTTGATATCACTGATCTAGGTAAAACATGTCTTAAGGGTGTGTTAGGGTGCAATGAGAATTTTAAAAATAGAATATTGAAAACAAGGGATGCGCCTAGACTTCTACTGCGACCATATTCCTTATCAATTTTCACTCTTCCATTTCTCACCTCCACTGTCCTCGGAATCATATCTTATATCTATGTGGTGAACATTCTAAAAGATTATGAGTCTGATTTTAATAAACCCTGGTGCTTATATAATCAGATGGGGCTCCCATATAGATTTCCCATATTCTCTTATTTACTCACAACATTTACCTGACAAGAATTTATGTGTTTGTGCAACCCCTTTTAAGTAACGCTGAATTTATTTTGCAACCTTTGTTACTTAAATTTTTCTATCTCAATGGGAGCCAAGTGCCAATCTTCATTCTGATTGTTGACTGTCCAGTTTGACTTTTATTGTGCATATGGCAATCTATGATGACATTCTGATCATTTAATATTATATTTATTTCTAAAGACAGATATGCCTGAGACCATGTTCGTATTCCAGCAATGGGAGATCAGTGACCGGCGTTTCTTGTGAAAGTGACTAATTTATCAATTAGCAAATTGTCATGTTCGTCCGCAAAAGGTCATGGAGTCATGTTATCAATGTCGCAAACAATTAGTGTGATCTCAATCATTTGTATGTGCCACCATCCTACTTGTAAGTAATATGGATTTTGTATAGCATATACACTGGATTGTCCGCTAGATGAGTTGAGTCATGAGGAAGCTTAACACCTTGGGTGAGTCTAACCTAAAATAACGTGTGTAAGTATTTTTTATTACACACTTTAGCAAACTTTTCCTTCCTGTCTACTACCGCGGCAAGAACATTTACATCCCCAATATCATCAAGGACAAGAAAGAAAATTGACTATATAAGAACTGTTGGTATTCACGGTCCAATTGAATCATCAATAGCGATACATCTACACTTGAACTTCATGCACTTTACTTACAACTATAATGTTTTGAAAAAAATAATAAAAGAAAGAGCAAAAGATAAATGAGATTAAATTATTTTTTTATTATGATTGTTAAATAACAAGAGAAAAGAGAGGAACATTTGAAATATTTCTGTGTATATTGACTGATGAAGGCTGTACAATATATAAACAGACTAATGGGCTAAGTCCAAACCTAATGTAATCTGACCTAATACAAAATAAGGAAATCTTAATTACAAAATAAGGAAACCCTAATTACAATATATTTCTAACACTCCCCCTCAAGCTGGAGCGTATAGGTCATATGCACCAAGCTTGTTACATATAAACTCTATTCAAGGGCTCCTCAAAGATTTTGTAAACACATATGCTAATTGCTCATTAGAGGGTACAAAGCTAGTTTTAATTTCACCATCAAGAACCTTTTCTCGAACAAAGTGGCAATCTATTTCTATATGCTTGGTTCTTTCATGAAACACTGGATTTGATGAAATGTGTAGAGCTGCTTGATTATCACAAATGAGAGTTGCCTGTCCAGTGTCTGTAAACTTAAGTTCTCTGAGAAGCTGTTTAAGCCAGATGAGCTCGCAAGTAGTAGTCGTCATGGAGCGGTATTCGGCTTCAGCACTTGATCTGGCAACTACGCTTTGTTTCTTACTTTTTCAGGAAATCAAGTTGCCTCCAACAAAGACACAATACCCAGAAGTAGATCTCCTATCAGTTGGACAACCAGCCCAATCAGCATCACAATAGCCAACCACTTTATCATGACCTTTATCTTCATATTCAAGGCCTTTCCCTGGAGATGCCTTGATATACTTAAGAATACGAATGACTGCATTCCAATGTTCTTGACATGGAGAATTGAGAAATTGACTGACAACACTAACTGCAAAGGAAATATCAGGCCGAGTGACTGTGAGGTAGTTCAATTTTCCAACCAATCTTCTATACTGCTCAGGATCTAAAAAGGGCTCCCCCTGATTTGGTAGAAGCTTGATACTTGGATCCATAGGAGTATCAACAGATTTTGAATTTAACAGCGCAGTTTCTTCAAGAATATCCAGAGCATATTTCCTCTGAGATATCACAACACCAGCTTTAGATTGGGCCACCTCGATTCGTAAGAAGTATCAAAGTTTCCCAAGATCCTTAGTCTGAAAATGATGACATAAGTGTTGTTTTAATCGAGTGATCCCATGCTGATCACTGCCTGTGATGACAATATCATCCACATATACCACCAGATAAATAGATCCAGAAGCAGAATGACGATAAAAGAGAGAATGATCAGCTGCACTCCGAGTCATGCCAAATTGTTGAACAACACTGCTAAATTTACCAAACCAAGCTCTTGGAGATTGTTTGAGGCCATAGAGAGACTTACGAAGACGACAAACAAGACCTGACTCCCCATGAGCAACAAATCCAGGAGGTTGCTCCATATAAATTTCTTCCTCAAGATCACCATGAAGAAAAGCATTATTGATATCCAATTGGTAGAGAGACCAATGGCTAATAGCAGCCATGGCAATAAAAAGGCGAACAATAGACATTTTCGCCACAGGAGAAAAAGTATCAATAAAATCCAAGCCAAAGACCTGAGTGAAACCCTTCACCACCAAGCGAGCTTTAAGACGATCCACTTGACCATCAGGTCCAACCTTAACAGCATAAATCCATCTGCAACCAACCACAGATTTTCCAGAAGGAAGAGGCACCAGGTCCCATGTGCCATTATGATGAAGAGCACTCATTTCATCAATCATAGCTTGTCTTCATCCCGAATGTGAAAGTGAATCACCTGTGGTATTAGGAACAAATACAGAGGACAAAGAGGAAAGACAAGCAAAATATGATGGAGAAAGATGTTGATAACTAATATTGACTGTATACCTGGCCGGAGGGCGAGTATCACGAGTACCTTTACGAAGAGCAATGGGAAGGTCACTGTCCGAAGGTGGGACCGAAGCCGTGGGAGGAGATGCAGTTGAATGTGAGTCCGCAGATACATCTGACGAACTATGCTAAATCTCATCAGCAGAAGAGGTGATAGAAGGAGAGTCAGAAATATGGACGGGTAAAGATGGAAGGTAAAGAAGGTCACTTGGGAAGGACGACTGTACATAATCAGTATCCACAAGAGTAGTAGAGGTTCCAAAAAAGGGAACTGATTCAAAAAAGGAGACATCCGCCGAGATAAAGTATCGACGTAAAGTGGGAGAGTAGAAACGGTAACCCTTTTGAGACCGAGGATAACCCAGAAAAACACATTTATGAGACTTGGGAGCTAATTTATCCAAATCTGGACCAAGATGATGAACAAAACACGTAGAACCAAGCACATGTGGAGTTAAAGGATATAAAGCTTGATGAGGAAATAAAATAGAGTGAGGTACCTTATGATTGAGAACAGATGATGGCATGCGATTAATGAGATAGCATGCAGTAAGTATAGCATCACCCCAGAATGTGTATGGAACATTACCATCAATTAACAAGGCACAAGTGGTTTCAACCAGATGGCGATTCTTGCGCTCGGCTACACCATTTTGTTGAGGTGTGTGAGGGCAAGATGTTTGATGAAGAATGCTATGAGATGAAAAGAATTGTTGAAATTGATGAGATAAGTACTCACATGCATTATCACTACGAAAAGTACGAATAGGAATACCAAATTGAGTTTTTATTTCATTATAAAATAACTGAAAAATAGAAAACAACTCAGACTGCTTTTTCATTAAAAATAACCAAGTACATCTGGAATAATCATCAATAAAAGTAACAAAGTACTTAAAACCCAAAGTAGAAGAATGACGACTTGGTCCCCAAACATCAGAGTGGACCACAGAAAAAGGAGAAACAGCTTGACGACTAAGACGACTCGGAAACGTACTACGAGTATGTTTCCCAAATTGACAAGACTCACAATTTAAAGTAGAAAGAGACGATAAATGGGGAACCATCTTCTGAAGCTTTGCAAGACTAGGATGGCCCAGACGAGCATGGATAGTAAGAGGAGAATCCACAGTGGAGCAAGCTGAAGAAGAGGGAACTAGTTGATAGAGGCCCTGAGACTCACATCTTTTGGTAATCTCCTTCCCCGAACTCCGATCCTGAAAGATGACAGAGGTTTTAGTAAAAGAAACAACACAGTCAATGGATTTGGTCAACCGACTAATAGAAATTAAGTTAAAAGGAGAATCGGGAACATATAGAACATGATCCAGAGATAAATTAGGTAAAAGAAGAATCGTGCCAATCCCCCTTGATTGGACCAGAGACCCATTGGCCATAGTAATAGTGGGAAAAGAACCAGTAGTACAAAGGGAAGTTAATAAGGATTTATTACCATAAATATGATCAGAAACCCCAAAATCTAGAGTCCAAGGGCCAATAGAGTGCAACTGAGATATGCCAGCAAAAGAATTACCAGAATTACCAGTGGGAGCAATGGATGCAGTAGGACCTGATGTTTGCTTCTCAGACCACCAAGTCACAAAAGCTTTTGCCTGACTCCAAATAGCTTCACAGGTAACAGCAGGTCGAAAATATGCTTGATAGACGGATGAAGAGTAGCTTTAATAAGACTACACAACTGAGCATCAATCATCTTCCATCATATGCGCTCATTTTCCGCCACAGATTCAGCCTTAGTGGTGAGATGGGATGTATAATTCTGCCCATCCAACCAGAGTCGCAGATCGGAAGACCAAGTATCATAATTGGACCCATCCAATTTATCCACACTCAATGGAGCAAGGATATAATTTGAGAAAATAGTAGACTCCGACTTTTGTCCCGCCGGAGTCCCAGAAACAGAAACATTGGAGACAGGAGTGTCCATAATCAAAGGAAAAAAGCAGAAAGAACAGGTCAAAAACTAACCGGTAGAAGGGGGATCTGTGCGTCAACACAAAAAGAGGTCTAAACACCAAAACAAGACCAGATCCAGAACCTACGCAAGGAGACGAGAAGATCACAACTAGCCGCGGCCGGAGAGGGGCCTCCACGCACCGCCGGAGTGAAGGAGAGTGGCCGAGAGTGGCCGAACTGTCACGCGCGCGTGAGGGCGCGTGTGACCTTGAAATTGGACGAGACCGGTGGCGTTGGAACCGCGCGGCGGAGACGATCACGGCGGTATGTGGATCGCCGGAAAAGGTGACCGGACGATGGTTCTGGACGAGACAGAAGTTGTATGTGGAGAGAGAAGCGTCCGAAAAGTGACAAAGAGACAGCTCCGGAAAAAAAAAAAAAAAAAATTAACCGACGATGAACAGTGGGTTTCACCGAATTTTTTTTTCAAAGTCTCTTAGGCTTTGATACCATGTAAAGAACCTTGGGATACATCACCCCAAAAGCTAGCTCAAAGAGTGGGAGTGCCCAAGGCCTTATAAACCTCACATTAGTTGCTCATACAACCAATGTGAGACTATATATCTCAACATGTAAAGAACCTTGGGATACATCACTCCAAAAGCTAACTCAAAGGGTGGGAGTGCCCAAGGCCTTATAAACCTCACATTAGTTGCTCATACAACCAATGTGAGACTATATATCTCAACACGCCCCCTCACACGAGAGCCCTTTGGGCTTGAAGAGTGGAAGATGCAACAGGCCCAACCTACCTGTGCTAAGAAAGTCCACAAGAGAAAGTGGGGGGCGGCGATGCTCTAATACCATGTTAAATAACGAGAGAAAAGAGAGGAACATTTGAAATATTTCTGTGTATATTGACTGATGAAGGCTGTACAATATATAAACAGACTAATGGGCTAAGCCCAAACCTAATGTAACCTGACCTAATTCAAAATAAGGAAACCTTAATTACAAAATAAGGAAAATCTAATTACAATATAACAATATGATATGAGAATGAATGAATTTTGTAATCGCTGCTCGGGGAATGATATGAAGGACAAGACCTAGGAAACATGTCCGCACGTTTTTTCATTTATATAAGAAAATTCGGTAATGATATAATAATATTCCTACATCAATCCGATCTTTCTCTTACCAACTACATCATTGGCTAGCAATATTGTTTCGAGGCAAACCAAAAAAAGAGAGAGAGTAATATTGTGGACTTGGAGAGATTACAGACATTATCTTCGTGGGGATCACGAAGGCAATTTCTTTCACTTGGCGACGTGCTGAATTGGACGTTATATATATGGATGCAAGTATAAGGATCAATGAGCATCCCATTGTATCGATCCAAAAACATAACCATGACTTCGATTCATCAATCTTGGAGCTTCTTGTTCATTACATTTACATGGATTTTCAAAATCATAGGAAGGCCAGCAGTGGCAGAGGGAATATTTCAACCAAGTCAATGGGCTCTTGCCCATGCCACATTTTATGGTGATGAGACTGCTTCTGCCACCATGGGTATGATATCTCAATTCCTTATTACCATTAGTACTTCAACCATTAAAATCCATGTTAGTTAGCATCTTATATTGTTGAGATATATAAAATCATTAATATAGCCTCACCCAACAGCTTAAGTTAAGTTGAATTGGTTCTTTACATATATACTTAATTAAACCAATGTTGCGTTGCATTAACATGCCTTGTTTTCTTGTGATTAAAATGGGATGGACTAAAGGAGGAGCATGTGGGTACGGAAATTTATTTATTAACGGCTATGGGACAGATACAGCGGCTTTGAGCTCTACATTGTTCAACAATGGGTATGCATGCGGGACATGTTATCAGATAAAATGCTTCCAATCGAGTGCATGCTACACCAATGTGCTAACAGTGACCGCCACAAATCTTTGTCCTCCTAATTGGGCCGAGGCCTCTGATAATGGTGGCTGGTGCAACCCACCTCGTACACATTTTGATATGTCCAAGCCTGCCTTCATGAAAATTGCACAATGGACGGCTGGCATCGTCCCTGTTATGTACCGCAGGTAATCAAGAAAGCTTATTTACTCATAATTCATGAAATATTTTTTTTTAGTGGAAATGAGACTATTTATCTCGTTGGGATAAAATATGTTAATATAACAGTGATTTTATGACGAATCTTAGCTCAACAGGAGAGTCATTGTAAATGGGTCTAAGGTATGAGCTAAGAATTGAGAAAAAGTGTTGGGCACGATGCCCCAGTCTTGAAGTATTAAACATAGTAACCATATGAAAATGGATATGCAAAAGGTGCCTCTTCAATAGGGGTATATAGGTGGAAAAGATTCTCAAACGATGGGTGAGAAAAAGAGCCGTAATGATTTTGCATTTTGAGTCTCATTAGGTGTGAGGCAAGTATCCTGATATGAGGTGAGTTTGGAGAGTGAAATTCTAGTATAACGATGTTAAAGTTGTCTCATTTTAAGGATGCAAGAAAATGACCTCTTATATGAGTCTTAATGACTAGACAATATCACCATTCGGAACAATCATTATTATAAAAAGTATGTAATTAAGAAAGTTCATTTATCCATATATATAATGGCAAAACGATTTCTGCCTTTATGACAGAAAATGCGGATCCTGGAGAAAATGTATCTACGGTAGACATCGTTTTCTGTAGTAAAAGGAGAATCGCGAGATCTATATATAATAGAATAACATAAAATGTTCATTCTTTCTGGCACAATTTGGAATGTGCCTCTTGATGATCCCTTACAACGTGATGTGTTAATTAATTTCTCAGAGTACCGTGCGTAAGGCGTGGAGGGCTTCGATTCTCTTTGCAAGGAAATGGGTATTGGTTATTGGTGTATGTGATGAATGTGGGAGGTGGAGGAGATATTGCCAACATGTGGGTGAAAGGAAGTGAAACAGGGTGGATTAGCATGAGTCACAACTGGGGGGCTTCCTATCAGGCATTTGCAACACTAAGTGGCCAAGCTATTTCTTTCAAGATCACTTCCTACACAACCGCACAAACTATAATAGCATGGAATGTTGCCCCTGCCAACTGGGGCGTAGGACTAACTTATTCCACCAATGTCAACTTCTATTAAAGTTTCTCCTTTTCATTTACTTTTATAAACTCCACGGTTATTTTTATCTGTTGTAATGAATTTTCCACAAGCGAAGAATATTGTCATTCTTAAGAGACTTCTTGTTTTTTTGTTAGTTTTACAATGCTGAAATGTACGGCTTTTTGACCACGGTAGCCTTAATTTAATAATTAACTACTAATTCGTCCTTCAAACAAAACATATCATTCATCTGCCTCTGTTTACGTAAAATACCTGGGTAGGCAGGGGGATACCCGGGTATAATTTGAAAATTTCACCCTACCCAGGTAGTGAAGGAAGGGGATACCCGAGTATTGTTCGTAATCTGGAAAAATGCTTAAATTATTTATCCGGATACAGTGGCGTAGCCACGTTATAGCTAGGTGGGGCCTGGGCCCTAGCTAATTTTGAAAAAAATTTATTTATTATATATAATTATATGATTAATTTTGATTCGGCCCAAGCTAAAATGGCAATTAGGCCCTACCTAAGTGCTCTAAATGAAACCATTTTCTTGTCTCAGAAAAGATGAACTACATTCATCCTCACGGTACCCTTTGTGAATATCAATTTTATGCAACAAGTTTTGTTTTTATTCAATAAAAAAAAAGATATAAGAAAAAGGAACATACACAGAGCAAAAAGAAGTGTAGAGGGAAGAGGAAAGTGAAACAAAGATAGGTCTTTGTACAGGGATCAAGTAATCACCAAAATGGACAAAAAATGGTACAAGGAGAAAAGAGTTTCAGAGCCATACACGAAAATAGATAGTCAAAATATCATCTCTACACTCTGAGAGGCACCCCAATAACCCAAAACTCTTCTATCATCAACATCATTCTCTCAAAAATACTCAAGAAGAGGGCAGATGTATATAACCAAGTCAGTTAAACACACCACCATCAACGAAATTCTCCTCTCCATCCCTGCCTAGCTTTGCCAGAAAACACCAGCCATTGCACCAAATTGTTGCTCCCCTCACGCTGCTCGCCATCGCTGAAGATCTCTGATGCAGTTCGCCACCACTTGGATTTCGCCCGCCGTGCACGACTCAACCTTTCTTTATGAGTTCTGACTCTCCATACTATAAACCAAAGGCACCGCACCTCTTCATTTTGCGGTAGATATCATTTCTTTTTGTGGTGGATGAGGATATATATCATTTCTTTTTGTCTCGTTTATTCAATATCCAGCCTTTGTTTTATTTATTATTTTAAGTTATCTTGCTTGGATGTATAATATAATGACAACAAATAAAAAAAATATCAAAGTTAATCTAATTTATGAAAAGACGTTTCACTTCATACATTAATAAGGCTAGAAAATAGACACACAGACTACTTCAACTACTTATTATGCCATGTGAAAAACCAAAAAAAAAGTTGAATGCATAATTGTTTTAGCTTGTTTTAATTTATTCAGCCTTTCTTATTATTTATCTGAAAAACCAAAAAAACAAAAAGCTGAATGCAAAAAAAAAAAAAACCAATAAAAAATATCAACGTTATTCTAACTTATTCAGCCTTTCTTTTTATTTATGTGAAAAACCAAAAAAAAAAGTTGAATGCAAAAAAAAAAAGCAATAAAAAATATCAACGTTATTCTAATTTATTCAACCTTTCTTTTTATTTATGTTTTAGCTTGTTTTATTATTGTTTATTATTATTCTTTTGGTTTCCTGTCTAAGCTAATATATGTTTTCATGTGCCATGGACTGAATGTATAATTGTTCATCTAATTTGAAAAGGCTAAATTGCATCTCTCAGACTCAGTGACTATAGTTAATGCATTTCATTATGTTAAAATATTCATATGTCTTGTTTGCGCTATATTTTATGTCTTGTTCTAAAAAATGCTCCATTGACAACCAAGTATACCTCACCTCAAATATAAAAAGGAGATTTATATGTTCTAGCAAACAAAGTGCAAAAACAGATTCGCAAAGATATTGGGGACTTTAAGCTTTGTATTATCGTGGATGAAGCACATGATGAATCCAAAAGAGAACAAATGGCTCTTGTCTTGAGATTTGTTGACAAAGATGGTTTCATAAAAGAGAGATTTTTTGATCTTTATCATGTTCAAGATACATCATCTATGACACTTAAAAATGCTATTAGTGAAATACTCTCACATCATTGCCTTGATATCCAGAATATCTGTGGCCAAGGATATGATGGTGCTAGTAACATGTGTGGTGAATGGAATGGATTGCAAGCATTATTTCTTAATGAATGTCCTTGTGCTTATTATGTGCATTGTTTTGCTCATCGATTACAATTATCCTTGATTGCTGCCTCTAAGGAAGTTTATTCTATATATCAATTCTTTCAGAATTTGAATTTCATCATTAATATCATCACTGCTTCTTCTAAGCGTCATGGTCAATTCCAAGCTGCCCAAATTTCTGAATTTGAACATTTGCAGGCTATTAGTGAGCTTAAAACTGGTATAGGTTCTAACCAAATAGGTACATTAAAGAGGGTAAGTGATACTAGATGGGGTTCTCATTTTTATTCTATATGCAGTCTTCAACGAGGGTATAATGAATCGTGTTCTGTACTTGAAAAAATTCGTAATGAAGGCTCAAATTACTCTGAAAGAGGAGATGGGACTACAACTTATAAGATGATCACTTCTTTTGAGTTTATCTTTAATTTACTTTTGATGAAGGAGATCATGGGCATCACTGAAATTCTTTGTCAAGCATTACAACAAAAATCTCAAGATATTTTGAATGCTATACAATTAGTTTCATGTACAAAGGAACTTATTCAAGAATTGCAAGATGATGGTTGGAAAAGAATACTTGAAAGTGTTGTTAATTTCTCCAAGCTTCATGAAATAGATATTCCAGATCTTGATGCTCAATATATTGAAGGTCGTGGCCGTCAACAACATGATCAAATAACTATTGAGCATCACTGTCATTTTGATATCTTTAATTCAACAATTGACTTTCAATTACAAGAGTTAGATAGAAGGTTTACTGAGCAAACAATAGAACTTTTATCACTTAGCTCTTCATTAGATCCGAAGAATGGTTACAAAGCATTTAATGTTGATGATATTTGTAGCCTTGCAGAGAAATACTATCCTCTTGATTTTTCTGAGCAGGAAAGAATTAGTTAGAATTGTCAATTGAAGCATTTCCACAAGGATATCCCAAAAAATTCAGAACTTCAAATTTTATCTTCAATTTCCGAGTTGTGTCAAGGATTAGCCAAGACAGGAAAGTCAAATTTCTATCATTTAGTTGATAAGCTAATCCGTCTTATCTTAACACTACCAGTTTCAACAGCAAGTAGTGAGCGTGCATTCTCAGCAATAATGAAAATTGTGAAAACAAGGCTTCGAAACAAAATGGAGGATGACTTTCTTGCAAATAATTTGGTAGTGTATATTGAAAGAGAGATTGCTGAAAATTTTACTACAGATTCTATCCTTGAAGATTTCGTCAATTTAAAAGAGCGTCGTATACAATTTTAGGTATACAACTTTTTTGATTATATTTTAAATTATTTATTAAATGTTATTATACATATAGTTATTATATTTGTGTATATTCATATCCTTAAGATTATGCTTGGTTCATTACTTATTATGCTGTGGGAGGAAAATGCAACTCTTATGTTTGAAATGCTCACCGAAAAGGTTAGTGCCTTTTTATATATTTGCTTTGATATAGTATGCTAGAATTCATAGTAAACTTTTTCCTAATAAATTTATGTAATTACGATAAATATTTTAATAATTTAATATATCGAATTTTTTGGCCATGGCTAAAATTTATTCCTGACTCCGCCACTGCCCGGGTAGGGAGGAGGATACTCAGGTATTGTTCATAATCTGAAAAAATGCTTAATTTATTTACTCGGGTAGGGAGGGGGATACCCGGGTAATCCGGAAAACACTAAAACAAAAAAAAGGCTGCTAAGTTTACTCCAAAAAAAAAACTTCGGATCCCGAGAAGAGTTGAAGATGGTGCAACATCGAATCCTGTTACGTTACTTGGAATGGAATCTTAGCCCGCCTCACTTTCTTTCTTTACTGCATAAGGGCCATAAGGGCATAAACGAAGTCAAGGGATTGCCTTCTTTCTAACTAGTGGCTGAGAGTAAGCACCTAAAAGCCTTCATTCAATAGATTTGTGGTTGAGTCAATAACATGCTCTAGGTCGGGAATCTTTGCTCTTCTCTTTTGCATTTTCGCTGCCTGCGTTCTTCTTCCTTCGTGTCCGTCTGTATCGCAAAGCTGGTCGATGCCAGCTGTAATGGTTGATAAGAAGGGGCCAACCAAGACTACCTAAAAAAATAAAAGAAAGCTTTGTTCGATAAAGCAAACGATTCGTCCTGACAATAACTTCGTATACTGGTGTACCCGGATAGTTTGTACCCAAGTATCCCCCTCCCTACCCGGGTAAATAACTGCATACCCGGGTAAATATTCAACATATGCAAGAACAAGTGATAAATGAGTTTGATCAATGACACAAGAAATGGATTTGTACTCTTGAAGTACAGATTATACAAGTTGAAGCTTATGGGTATTGATCAATGACACAAGAATGAAGTTCAAATGATTTTTATGATCAATATGAGTAAGAACAAGTGATAAATGAGTTTGATTCAATGAGAATAGTCAATAATGATTGCGAAATCAATGGAACAGTAAATCTTGGCTTGCTGATTCGTAATAATGAGTTTATATAAGTGTTGGCACGAAACTAGCCGTTTATAGCCGTTAGACTTCTTACTGCCCAGTAAGTATTCGAATACTTTTCGTGAAATATTCGAATACTTCATCAGGTATTCGAATACTTTTCTTAAGGTATTCAAATACTTTGTTCACAGCACAAGTATTCGAATACAGTCAAGAAAGTATTCGAATACTTTCTTGACAGAACATGAATGATGCAGTTTTTCGAGTTGTAAAGCATTCCTTCTTTCCTCTAATCACTTTTAATGTAATTCCTTGACTTATAGAAAATGTTTTGAGGTTACAAAATATGTCAAGGATCTTTTTCATAAATATTAAAGCTTTCAAGTGATTGATGTCATGGATAAT